ACCTTTAGTTCAACGCTGCAGTGACCTGACAAGGGAGGTGTCCCTTTATCTCTCGCTTCGATCTCCAGGTCATATGACTGAATGTCCTCGAAATCCAGTTCGCCAGCAGTCCGTATTTCCCCGGATTTTTCGTCAATTCTGAAAAGATCCTTAATTTTGGAATAAATCGCGTCGCTAAAAGAGTAGTATATTTCTCTATTTGTTCCCTCATCTTTGTCTGTCGCTGTTAGCTGGAAAAACAGAGTTCCTGGAGGTGTATTTTCTGGTAGGTCAACTTTATAAACCGACTGATTGAAATGGGGTGGATTGTCGTTTGCATCCAGCACCGAGATCAGCAGCTCCATTGTCCCTGTCAGAGACGGCCGGCCCCCGTCACTCGCTGTCAGCACCAACCGGTGAACGGGAATCGTCTCGCGGTCCAGAGATTTCGTTAAAACGAGAACTACATACATTTTATTTTCGTCTTTGGATTTCACTTCCAAGCCGAAATACTCGCTGGGGCTGAGTGAATAAGACAGCTGAGCGTTCGCTCCGATATCCGCATCCGATGCGCCCTCCAGCGGGATACGGAACCCAGGAGGAGAGTTCTCCGATAAACTGAGGTTTTTTCGGGCGGCGGGGAAGACGGGGGCATTGTCGTTGATGTCGGTGACCTCCAGCTCCACATGGAAGACGCGCAGCGGCCGCTCCACCAGCACCTCCAGGCGCAGCGCGCACGGCGCGCTCTTGCCGCACAGCTCCTCCCGGTCGAGCCGCGAGCTCAGCACCAGCGCGCCGCTCGCCCCGCTCACCTCCACGCTCGCCCGCCGGCCCTGCGCCACCAGCCGCAGCCGCCGCGCCTCCGCCTCGCCCGCCTCCAGGCCCAGGTCCTGCGCCAGACGGCCCAGCACCGTGCCGGCCTTCGCTTCCTCCGGCACCGAGTAGCGCACCTGCCCGCCCGCCACCGCCCAGGCCGCCTGCAGCACCAGCACCCGCACCAACAACGCGCACCGCCGCTCGCCCATCCCTGACGCCGCCGCCGCCGCCGCTCTGCCTGCCGGCCCCGGCACGGGCCCCGCACGGCTCCCCGCCGCCGCCCGGACGCAGCGGCTCTGCTGCCCGGCCCGCGCCGCCCCCCCCGCGCTCACAGCCGGGCTCTCCGCCGCACCGGGGCGGAGCCGCCCACACGCCGTTCCTGAGCCTGCAGCGACACCGTGCGCTGCTCCGCCGCCTCACACGCTCCCAACACAGCGCCCGCGCCGCCGCTCTGGCATCGCAATTTCCTCTGCAGCCTGTTCCTCTGTGCTCAACTGATCTTTCTTATCTCCTTTTCCTTATCGCTTGCTTTTTTATTGCATAGGTTCATTTCTTTTCCTCATCTTCTTCTTCCTTTATTCCTTCCTTCCACTATTTCTCTTGTTTTCATCGGTTTGCCTTTCTCTTCTCTTTCCTATTCTTCCCATTATAATCTTCTTATTATTTTCTGTTGTTGCGTGTCTTGATCATTGTCCTTTTGATTTACTGTCCTGTCCTATTCTTTAAGCAATTTCATTTCCTTTTTAATCTTCGTTCGTTTTTACCCCTGATGGCAGGGGTAATTTGCCAGTTTGCCGGTGGCGTCCTGCGCCGCGGTGGAGAACAAACATCAAAGGCGGAGCTATCAGCCCTAATTATGGTCCATCACCGCTAATTATGGTATATCAGCGCCGGGACGCGGTGCTCCAACCGGGGAAAAGGTTGTTGGAGACCAACTCTGCTCAGCGTCTGAACATAATATCAGTGCCTGCTGATCGGGTCCTTTATCTTCCTTCTTTTTTCTTCCATTCTCTTCTCTCTTTGTTACTTCCTTGCCCTCTTCTTCTCTTACTTTTTTCTTGTATAGTCGCCTTCCTTGATATATCCTTTTCTCCTTCGTTTTCTTCTTCTATTCTTGCTGTTCTTTTTTCTCTCATTCCCTTCTATTTCCTGGTTCTCTTTCCCTGTCTTCTTCATGCTCTTACCTGTCATATGTTTTAATTCCTCAATCTCATTTTCTTTTCATATCTCTTATGTCTTTCTATTTCCTTTACTAATATTCATTCTTTCAAATGTTTATATAATATTCTCAATGAATATGTCCTTTGGAAAAACTTCTCATTCATCTTCCTTGCAACGATTTCTTCCATTGCTTCTTTTATTCCACTTCTTCTTTGTCCTTTTTCTTCTCCCCTTTTATCTTTTTTTTTTCTTTGCTTTTTTGTCTCTCCTCACTGTGCCGTCTTTCTGTCCCCTTGCCTCTTCCTGCCATTCTTGCATCTTCTAATTTTTTTTCCCCCTTAAGGAAATGTTTTTTTAAAATAGCTACACAGCACACCTTGAAGCACAGACATGCCCTTTAGCAAAAGAGCACTCCCCTTCCACCTCTCATTCTTCATGACAGGGAATAACCTTCTTTCTTTTCTCCACTACCATGCACTGCAGCTTCCTCTCCCTTCAGGATCAAAGCCACCTTTGGAGCCTTCAGTCATCTCAAGGACCCAAGAAATAAATGGACAAAGCAATCATGTAGTAAAGAACAGGTTTGTTACATCAGAGAATAGTCCACCCATTCAGACATCTATTACAAAAAGGTCTCCAGCGTCTAAGTGACCCAAGAGAGTCTCTCCTTCACAAAATCAAACCCATCAGAGTCCAGCGTGATAATCCTCCAACAGTGCTGCAAAAAAAGTCATGATGACACCACATTCCTCATTTACCTCGATAGAGAGCAATTCTGCCTGACTCATTTTTCACCTGCAGAGCTATTAAAAAATTCACCACGGCATTGTCACTGAAAGCATCCTCTGCATGCTCAAGACATTTACTTCTAGAAAAGCATTAAGATCATTCCTCCATCTGTCTTTGCTGTCCCTTCTCACCCTGTATCAGGAAGCAACAAAATCGAATGAGAGCATATAATGGTGCTCCAAACCTACAAGAATTTCAGTTCAGGGAATATTCAGTTGATCCAACATGAAGATACCTCAACTGAACAGAAGCCAGAGTACAACTGTCTGTCACACACTGCCTTTTCTGGTAGGAGTAATTCACCTGTAGCATCACTGGTTGTTTCTTCAGAAAAAAAAAAACAAAAAAAAAAAAACCACAAAAAAACCCCAACCCCTAGGACAATAAATATTTGTTTTAAGGGACAGTGTCCCTTAATGCCAGCTAGAAGACCAAGACCAGAGAGATGCAATGTCCCAAGAAAGGCTGGCAGAATTATACTAATTTCAAAAAGTTTTCTGTTTGACCAAGAAAATTCCACATCAAAGACAAGTGATTAAAGTCATGGATGGCAAGTCACTTCTTAAGCTGTAATATCATAGGGAACAACAGAAAGCAAGGATACAGAGAACTGTTGGAGTTCCTCAGAGGATCCCAGAAGAGCAGCACTAGGTGGTCGGAATTTTCTCAAGGCTATCTATTGGCATCCTTTATCACAAGGCATGGGAAATGAGATCTCCACAGCTAACCAGACATTCTCCAGTTGCTCCACAAAAGTGCAGTCCATGTTCTACTCAGCATCTCCATTTTCCACGGGTAACACTCCTCCCCACTCAAATTCACCCTCCCCATCTGACAGGCCCAGACCTTCCTTAGTGCCACACACAGGATCTCTGCCAAAATATCAAACATTGCTCGACCTCAGCAACATGCCCTGTCTGTAAGCCTCACTCTGCATGTCATCCAGACCTTCATACTTCCTCATTTTCCTTCATGATCACTACAAAAGATGTTCAGAATGTCTAAAAATTCTTCCCAGCTACATGATCATCGCCATGAATGCTCTGCTCCTGTTCAGTAAACTCGGGTGGAAATGCCAGAGAGCTGCATGTTAAGTTCATCAAAACTGTCATTAGAGCCATGACAGCTCTGATACCAGTCCACACAGATTTATTTCTTCATGAAAACACAGCAAGTGCCAAAGCACAAGAGGAGTGAGTGTCAACCGTGTGGGACAATTTGTACCACAGGAACTCAGCTAATCATGCAGGTTTTAGGATATTCTTGCAGAGATCAGAACAATCCACGTGTGACATCAGGACACACCGTCTCTATTGAGGCCACTTCTGCAGTGCACAAGTAAAGGAAGTTGAGCACATAAAAATTACAGCCACGTGTTATAAAATAAATTCTTGTAAATCCCACATGAGGAGGAGCAAAGAACCATCACGGCAAAATCTACAGCTGTGGAGAACTACTATGGAAGCCCACTCCTACACAAAGACAGCAAGTTTGTGTTCCCCACCCGCAGTACCTTGAAACCTTGGACCTGAAAAAGTTGTTTCATCAGACAACATTCAACACTCTCCATCTCACCAGCTCTTACCAACACACAGCCTACATCAGGCAGGCAGGAGCAGAAGAGATGGTCTCTGGTGAAGAGACTCATAACTGCAAAGGACCCTGTGGACATCTCAGTATCACACACTGTCTCATTATCACAAAGGCTTCCAGACCCTTAGGACCTAGGAAAGCATCCTCAGCAAGGACGTTCTGTTACCATCCTGTACCCTTTACTGTACAAATCCTTCACTCCCCCATTCTAAGACATGTTCTAAAGACAAATACATAACCTCATGGTATTTTCCTATGACACGATCCATAAAATCCCCAAGGATTTTCAGTTTCCCCACACAAGTCTTTCTGCTGCTCATGGTCACCCTTCCCATCAGAAAAGGGCCAAGCCCTATTCTACACAACAGATCACAGTTTCCTTTCCTGACACAAAGTTCAACATGACTATTGCTTATCCTTCCCAGCAATGACACACCATAAAAATCCACGGATGGAATCATCGGCATGGTGTATGGCAGATGCTCTGCTGCTGACACCTTATGTCTTCTAATGCTTTTTTATGGGAATACTATTTTCAAAGATGATGTTGGAACCTCTAAACAGAAATGGCATTGATTTTGTGCTCCAAGAGAAGAACCAAGACTGTGGCAAGGACACTAATACATGAGACTGCCTCTGTAGGAGGAAGTTATTTGAGAATTAGTGGGGAAAGGTGATTCTTTGATTTTT